GGGGTGACAACAATTTGAGAGTTTTGATGTGCTGTTTTCTCAATTATCTCAGGTAATTATGAGTTTTAAGTGTGACTTTCAACTGAGCTTGGAAGAATACTAACAATGTGCCTGTTTATTAGAAGAAATAATTTACTCTTCAAAAACAAGTTACCCAAGTTTCCTTGTATTTTTTTTTATTTTTTTTTTATTCTTATGTTAATTCCCATACATTACATCATTAGTTCTAGATAAAGTGTTCCATGATTCATTGTTCGTGCACAACACCCAGTGCTCCATGCACCCAAGTTTCCTTGTAAATAAAAAATTACTATCAACTACAAATTTGTTGAAGGCCTACTGTATGACAAGAACCGTTCTAGGTGCTCAGGATAGGTTAGTGACCTCTCCTAGCACATCTTTAAACTATTCTAAAGAATAGTCGGAATATGAAATTTCAACAACAATCTCTGGAAAACAAAGGATGAGGGATTTTTAAGACTCAGCTTTAATACCTTCTTAAAGAGTCCCACACTGAAGGTGTGAGATCATCTTAATGTGCAAACTGAATTTCAAATTTACGGTAACAATAAACAAAACTTGCTTTCAAGAAAATACAATCTCACAACAAAAGTCGGGGAAAAGCAAACATCGCTACCAGCAAAGCATATTCTCACAGCCCGATAAGGAAGGCAAGGCTAAAATGACAGAGGCTTTCTGAAGCAACGTCGCCCCCTCCTAAACAGCCCTTCGGTCTCTGGAATCCCTAGAAAGCACTGCACTTATCTGTAAGTGACTTCCTCACAGACATCAATCACTACTACTATGATATCTTAACGCTCACAATCATGCGTAAGAACTGTATTTTGATCTCTTAATTCCTGTCTAATTTTAATTAGCAGATAAGTTGTCTGTGTAACATTTCCTCATAGATTTGAAGGCTTCTTGGTTTTTTCCTCCAAGAAACTTACACTAAGCCTGTCCTTTTAGGAGGGAAAACCTTTACAGAACCATCCTACATAATAGGTTCTGTTGGAGATGCATTCATTCGCTCTTCTCTACAAGCCCGACAGAACGCGCCTCAATTCAGAGAAGGAAACAAAGGCTAAGGGTGGTAAAGCAGCCGGCAGAAAAAGACTTAGGCACAGAACTGACCACAACCACGCTGACTTGTAATTCCCAAATAAAAAAATAGCTAGATTTCTGGATCTAAAGCACTACCCCAAGATCAAGAAAAATCATATAATAAACTAAGTTGAAAAACAGGTTTCCAGAGAGCTGCCACAAAAAAACTGTATTTAGCACAGTGACAAAACGTTACCCAGCATGGAAAAGACACACCGCCCAATACGCTCCCCAGGACAGAGCTTAGCTTGTCTCTACCCTAAACATCAAATGTGTAAATTTTAAAAATTAAAAATTTTAAACTTAAAAATTAAAGTAAAAACCACCTAATTTCTGGCTGGAGAAAGGAGTGAGGCTGGGAGGCCCTCGGGCCCTTTTCACTTCTGCCCGGCTTGGCCAGACTACCTGCTGAGAATTCCGAGGGGCTGACCCAGACCTGAGCACGGGTCCCCGGAGAATCCCTAAAAGCAGAGTTCAAGCGAAGGCGGGGACCAAGGAGTCAGACTGCAACCCGTTGTCGCCGGTGCGAGACACCTGCCCACGAGCCACTGGGGCTTTTCCTTACAGCAGCGAGGACCAGGCTTGGGGCTGCACACGGCGGCTCCTCCCCGGCCCGGGAGCGCGTTCACACCGTGGGGCGGCCCGCGAGCCAGGCCTCCGAGCGCCGCTGCGGCGGGCCCTTCCCCCAGCCCGCCTGCCCCCTCCCCGAGCCGCGCCCCGCGCCCGCTGCCCACTCACCTCCAGGCGCAGGGAGGCCCCGCAGCCTCGCAGGAACTCGCGGATATTGCTCAGGCACTCGCTCTCGCTCCGGGGCTCCGGGTAAACCTGCAACACAGAGCACAGGCGCTGAGCGGCGGCGCGCAGGCCGCGGACGCGACCCACGGCGGCCTCAGCAGTTGGCCCCGGGCGAGAGGACGCGGACCGGCGACCCCGGCCGCCCCAGACGTCCGCCCGCCCGACCGCCGCCTCTCCTCACCCTCTTTCCTTCCCCCGGGCTGCACCAATCTCAGGCCCCTACCCTCTCCAGGAAGTGGGCCGCCGCCGGAAGTGACGTCTTCAGACCGCGCCCCAGCCGCCCCGCGCGCGGCCCATTCCGGCCTCGCCCTCCCCCTGGCAGATGCGGCGCACCTGGCCGCACGCGTGGTAGCCGCCGCCGCCTCCTCCTCTCCCCAGCAGGCACGTGGTTCTCGTCCTCGGACACGGTCCACCTGGCCCCACGCGCAGACTCCTCCTCCTGGCACCTGATCCTTGTCCTGGGACCCGGCGCACCTGGCGCCACGCGTGGCCGCCGCCCCTTCCTCCTCCGCCCCACCCCGGCACCTGGTTCTTGTCCGCAGACGCGGCCCACCTGGCCCAGCGCGCGGTCTCCTCCTCCTGGCACATGGTTCTCGTCCTCGGACACGGTCCACCTGGCCCCACGCGCAGACTCCTAGTCCTGACACCTGATCCTTGTCCTGGGACACGGCGCACCTGGCCCCACGCGCAGACTCCTCCTCCCGGCACCTGATCCTCGGCCTCGTCCGGTGGACACCGCCCTCCCAGCGGGTCCTGGGAGAGCTCAGCCTCTGCGGTGAGCAAACCCCAAAGGGGCTGGAGGGAACTCTGTGTTTCTTCAGTTCTTCCCTGCCACCCGCTTGGGAGAGTGGAACTAGTATTCCATCACGATGATTTAAAATAATTGGCACATAAATTATGCATGTTGGGATTGAAGTGCAATGTTTTCTTCCCCACCCCATACCTACCATGTGCCTCATTAATGATTAACCAAAACAGCTAGTTACACGTCAGCGAGTAGGTCAGCTGGGGAGAAATTGTATGCGGCCTCCACCACAGGCAGAGAGCTTCGAGGAGGGCTTGGGCAGGCTGCCTGGTGCTTTGATCCAAGACCGAACCATGAGGGCCACCTGCCACACGTGTAAGGTGTTATTGACAGCCTCCCCAGGCAAGAAAGGTCAAGAAAACCGAGCGCAATACCCATAATACAGAGCAATTAAGGGAGAAAGAAGCCAGAGACATCGCAAGGACCCTTTGTCGTTCTAATGCATATGAAGAAGACTCAGTTTTGGGAGTTACTCTAAAGCACCATCCAGAACTTTAGCATTTGAGGACATTCAAGGCACTTTTGTCCTTCTTGGGGGAAATCACAACATTCCATCAGGCCTCACAGGAATACTTTGGTTTCATTTCAAGGAGCTCGGGTCTTTTAAAGTTTGAATCAAAACAAAGAACCAGTGTATTGAGAGGTGCAAAGAGGACAAAAATCAGACTTTTTTTTTCCTACAATTTAAAAATTCTTAGAAGAAATTGCCAACATATTTCCTCCAAATTGAACAGATTTTTTTTCCAGTGAACAAGCTAAACCAAAGCTGCTTCCTAGTCCATCTGCTTTCTCTATAAAAGAATTTTGAAAATGTACCAAATATGTAGTTAAAATCCTAATTTTAAATGGTTGCAAAGTTTTAATTTCTGATGTCCTGATGACATTCTGAAACTGCTAAGTTACCTTTAAAAAATGTCCAGTAGACTTCAAATACAATAGAAATACAATACCCATTCTCAGTCTTAAAGAATTTTCAACAAGCTCTTGTTTAAAAGTCAGAAATTTGACATCCTTTTCTCCTTCAACTCATTTCCATTCTACTTCCCCCAACATAACTGTATCCTAAAGTAAAACATTCTTATACTAAAAAATTTTACTGATCACACTTTTGCAAGAGACCCATCCAAATACAGTCCATCCTCATTTGTGGATTCTGTGCAAATTCACCTGCTTGATAAAATTTGTTTGTAACCCCAAATCAGTACTTGTGGCTCTTTCTCACTTATAGACATGTGCAGAGCAGTGAGAAATTTGAACAGCCTTTACACACACATTCCTAGCTGAACCTGAAGAAGGCCATGCTCTGCCATCTTATCTCAGCTGGTAATGTAAGCACATGTCCTTTTCTCAGTCTACTGCCACCGCATCTTTCACATTGTGATTTTTGTTGATTTTGCTGTTTTAAATGGCCCCCAAGCATAGTGCTAAGGTACTGTCTAATGCTCCAAAGCGCAAGAAGGCTGTAATGTGCCTTACAGAGAAAATACGTGTGTTAGATAAGCTCCGTGCAGGGCTGAGTTACAGTGCTGTTCGCCATGAATTCAATGTTAATGAATCAACAACACGGTACATCCAGAAAAAGGAAGAGGACATTCGCCGATCTGTACGTGAGGCCACTCCAGGAAGTGCTAAAGTCACATCAATTGTGCGTGATGCAGCTATGGAAAAGATGGAAAAGCAGCTAAATTTGTGGATTCAGGAGATGACAACCAATAAAAAGAACATAGTGGACAGTGTTGTTGTGAGGCTGAAAGCCAAGGAAATTTACAGTCATGTTACCCAGGGTCAGGAAAAGGTTAAACCCTTCTCAGCGAGTGCAGGCTGGCTTGCACGGTTCAAAAGGCGGTACCACATGAAAAATGTTAAACTTGTAGGCAAGGCAGGTCCTGCGGATCAGGAAGCTGCAGAAGAATTTAAAAAGTATCTGCTAAGCATTATACATGAAAAGGGTTATATGGAAGAGCAGGTTTTCAATGCTGATGAGACAGGCTTGTTTTACAAGAATGTTGGTAAACGAACCTATATAATGCAAATGGCCTCCCAAGCTCCTGGCTTTAAATCATTCAAAGACCGTGCAACCTTGCTACTATGTGCCAATGCCAAGGGTGACTTTAAGTGCAAACCCCTAATGGTACACGGAGCACAAAACCCACGAGCACTTAGAGGGAAAAATCTGAACCGCATGCCAGTCCACTGGAGGTGGAACAAAGAAGCATGGATGGCGTCCGGAATATTCTGGGACTGGTTCCACAACTGCTTCATCCCAGAAGCTGAACGCTATCTCCATAGCAAAAACCTTGCCTTCAGGATTTTATTAATTTTAGATAATGCCCCAGCTCATTGCCATGAAGAACTTGAAAATGCCCACCCTGACATAGAAGTTCTCTTCATGCCCCCAAACACTGCCTCTCTCATCCAACCCCTCAGTCAGGGCATAATAAAAGCTTTCAAGGCACACTACACCAGGGAACTTTACAGCAAGGCTTTGGAGGCTCTTGACGCCAATGAGGAGACCACCATGATGGACTACTGGAAGTCCGTCGATATACGCAACGTTATAGATTATATCAGCACAGCCTGGGACAGCGTCAAGCAGGCTACTATTAATAACTGTTGGGGAAATATTTGGCCAGACTGCGTGAAACATTTTGAAGGCTTTGAAGGTGTTACAGAAAATATAAAGAACAGTGTCAAAAACATAATGCATATTGCACAGCAAATAAGTGGAGAAGACTTCAGAGACATGAGGGAGGGAGATGTGGAAGAAATTTTGGAAGAAATGGCAGTAGAACCCACCAAGAAAGACCTGGATGAGATGGCAAAGCGTGGCACTGGAGTCAGTGATGATGACGATGGTGATGAAAGTCAGCCTAAGACTCCAAGAATTGTCCCTCTCACAGCAGCCAAAATATCGGAATGGAGTTCTGCCCTGGAAAAAATTTTCAATGACATGGAAGAGTGTGACCCCGTGCTGGAACGCAGCCTCACGTTTAGGCGCCTGACCTCCACTGCATTCGTCCCTTACGCTGAAACACTTAAAGATTTGAGGCGAAAAGCCAAGCAGACAAGGCTGAAGGAATTTTTCAAGCCAGTTTGGGAGGGAACATTGCTGACACCATCACCAAGTTGTGAAAGCCAGACTCCTGGGGTAGAAACACCAGGTCTCACATGCCAGCCTCACTGACGCCTTCCTCTTCGGCCAAGTCAGTCACACACTCTCCTTTGGTTTTCCGGGGGGCAAGTCAAGGTCACGAGGTTTAACCACTCTGCCCTCTGCCCCATCACAGTGTAAGCACCACAAGTAAGGTTTTCCTTAATGTTTTCACAGGATCCCAAGCGTTTCATCTTTGTGTAATGCTTTCGTGTGTGACTGTCCCGTGCGGCAGAGTGTGTGTGTGCTGTGGGTGCGACCGAGCGGGGGAGGCAGTCACTGCATGGCGCCGTACGGAGACACCGCACACAACCAGCTGTTTGTGAGGAGCACATGTTAAATGAGCTGTCTTCACACAGGAGTACATCTAAAACCAAGATCGTGTGTCCACTGGCAGACAAAATACTGTGGTCTGAGCTCCAAGGAAAGCAGCCCTGCACTTGCCCCAGGAACAGTGGCTCAGGAGGTGATAGCTCAGTGTTCACCGTGATTGTAGCACAGACTACCACAAATCACAGAAGTCAGCTCCACCTTTAAGACTATTAAGCCATGGGCGCCTGGGTGGCTCAGTCAGTTAAGCGACTGCCTTCGGCTCAGGTCATGATCCTGGAGTCCCGGGATCGAGTCCCGCGTCGGGCTCCCTGCTCGGCAGGGAGTCTGCTTCTCCCTC